CATAATATATATATATATATATATATACACACACACACACTTTTCCTCAATTCTGACTAATAAAATACATCAGTGGCTGTTTTATGACATTATAGCTGTCATAATAGGCGAGTTAGTTTACATATTATCTTATGACAGAATAATTAGGACCCCTACAAACAGAAAGCAGTTTCTTAATATGTTTTGTTTCTCTGCCAGTTTGACTATATTGAGCCCAGCAAAGCGACTGGTACCCAGGGTGCTTACTTATTGTTCAGAGAGGTTGAGCTGGACGAGAGGGCCCTGAGAATGATTGGATCTAATGAATAACTTATCTGATGATTTCCCTTTCTTTATGGCGAAATATAAGTGGTAAAATGGGCAATTTCTGGTGGTTGGTTTTTTTTCTGAACCAAAGGAAAACCAGGTGCTTAATGTCTATTTGGAGCCTATGGTATAAAATGTGTGACTAATAGAAGACTGAGTACTTCACACTTCCTCTGACATCTTTCTCTTACCCACATTTCCAAATCTGATTGAGTCATGGGTTTATGGGATGAAATCTTGACTTGAAAAAATGTGATGAGGGCCTGTTGGAAGAAGCAGTGGTGAGGAGAGGCCAGTTCAAGCCTTTATTTTTCAAACAGGGCCTTAAAAACACTCCCTAGTTTGAAGTTAAAGGATTACTTATCCTGCTTTGCAGTTGTTGGGGTGAAATGAAAGACTAGTCATTTAAAAGAAAGAACACTGCCTGTGGTTTCATCTCTTCTCCTTCTCCCTTTAGACCTCTAGGATTTCCCTATTAGTCATTCTTCCTTGCCAATCTCTGCCTATTGCTCTTGTGTCTTTCTGTGTTTTCCAGCTAGACCGTGAGCTTGCAGGGACTGAGTTCTATTTATCTGCATATCTTTGGTGCCTACACAGGCCTGGCACCTGGTATCTCTCTGACAAATGCATAAAGAGGTGTTACAAGCCAAGCCTGCAATCCTTACACATGCCAACTTAAACGGACTCCTTGGGTTTCAGGTCAAATGCTTTTTCTCTTTCCCTCTGAGCTTCAAGAATCCACACTTCTGCACCCAAGTGATTTGGATTTTATATAAACAAAAATACTCTATCTATTGCTCTAAGTGACCCCATACTTCTTAAGTGAATAAGCTGCATGTAAAGGAAGAGCAAAAATGAAGACATTAGAAGTAAAATATCCGAATCTATGGTGTATTTGTATTTTTCTTAGGACAAATACTTTTGAGAAATGCAATGCTTAATTTAATCTGGCTGCTTCCCTCGGTAGCAACAGGGTGTGGTATCCAGAGGAGTTTCCTGCAAAGAAGCCACCTGTGCTGCGAAATGCGCAGCCAGCAGGCTGGTAGTGTGGCTCCCCCACCCACCTCTCCCAGGCGGGTTGGAATAAGGGGTCGTGCCTTGAGACCTACCTGGAGGATATCTTGCGCGCTGAATGGTGGGGCTGTGGGTCTCTCCAGCGGAGGCTGAGAGTGAAGGAGGTGGAGACGTACGACTAGGCGAAGCGGCGGCGGTGCTGCCCAGCTCCGCTGAGGGTCCAGTCTCAGGGCCGGGGCTTGCCGGGCTGCGCTCTTCCGCAGTGGGCTCTGCGGGCACCCGGAGAGAGAACAAAGGTCACAGTAAGTCCAGGCTGAGTCACCGGGGCCTGGGCTGGGCGTATTGGGAGTTGGTGGAGGCCTCTAGAAATGCTACGTTAATGACAAAAAATGCTAAGGTGCCTGGAGTCCTGAAACAAGCAGCATCACACCACCTTGGGGTAGCCGAGGAAAGGTTGTCTCTACCAGCCGCGCTCACCGCCCTTTTGCGGCACCCGAACCCAGGCTAAAATAGCGAAGCCTGACATCGCCCAGAAATCGATCCTCTGCCCCCCACAATTGGTGCCGAGCTCACGAAGTTAGGAAAACCGAAGAAAACAGTGGAGGAAAGAGTCCCGCCCAAATTCGGAGGGTGGGGGTCAGTGAGTGTGCACGAGGGGGAAATAGTCATTTTCCAATTCCACCCGCTCCCACCCCTCACAGACAAATTTACACGTTGCATAGGAAATGCACAAGGTCCGGAACGAATGCGTGAATGCCCCGAGGAATTAAGAAAGTCAGCTTTTCATTCTAAATGCTAATGGAGCTTTGAGTCTATTAGCCGCGAGTTTCGGGGGCCAGGGGTCAAGCAAACAAAAGGGCCCAGTGAAAATAGGCCCGCGCTGGCAGCCGGGCGAGAAGGCGGATGGCGTTTACAGCTGAAGGGGCGGTCGGAGGGAGGCCCCCTGCACCCAGCGGGCGGCATCCTTGAGGGTGGGCGACTTCTAG